AATACCTAACTACCTACCTACTCATTTTTGTGGTTCAGATTCACTTGGTTCCAAATTGGAGGGCTCATTGTTCCAAAAAATATTATCTTTACTTTTTGATTTTGTAATTTATTATCGCATAACCTCTTAAACATATTGTTTACAATTATCTGAATTTTATAAGTATCTGTTTTAATGTTGCTAATTTCTAATTTTATCTTCTTGAATCGTCTATATTTTCATTTTGGTTAGTTTGATTAAGAGTTTGTCAATATTTTTGAATTGTTAATGAACCCTTTCTGTTAGATTATTTCATAGCACTATTAATTTAGTTTTTACATCCATTTATACCATTTTTTTTATCTTCACGTATAGTATCATTCTTGATTTTTGCTAGTTTGGGGTACAACATTTGATTATTTATGTTTCTTATATGATTTCATATAATTACTCATAACTCTGTACTTACCAATAAAACTAGTTTTGCTGTAAGGAGAAAATTCTATTTTATTTTAATTTCCATGTGATTTGAGTTTTTGCTAAGTCTACATTGTCTCACTAATCAGGAATTTATCACTCAATATCAATATTAGCAAAATTTCTATACTTTTCATGTCATAAATTGTGGTGTATTCTTCAAAAAGAGTCATGGAATTCTGAAAAGAATGTATATTCTATATATGTTGATGGACTCTACAAACATATGTTAAAAAACCTTTTGATCTATGATCTATTGCTGTGTATTCTCCAAAGCTTTATTTGTTATAACTATCCTATAAATTTGAGGTAAGTGAATGTATCATTTACTGTGATTTTTGTTGCTGTGATAAAATATGATTACAAAGACAACTTATGGAAGGAAGGGAGTCAAGAAAGCATGACAGCAAGCAGTCTGCAATAGCAGCATTCTGAGAGATCACATCGTCTACAACAAATATAAAGCAAAAAAGGCAAACTGGAAGTGGTTTAAGGCTGTGAGCTATATCAAAGGCAGCTCCCAATGATTTTATTCCTTTAGTAAAGTTGTACTTCCAGAAACTTACATAAGCTTTCCAAGTAGTACAACCAAGTGGGCACTAACTATTCAAATACCAGGGCTTGTAAGGAACATTTCTCATTCAAGCTACCACTGTGTGATGTAGTTTGCACTACGAAAATAAATAAATAAATAACAAATTGTTAATAGGCACATTAGAATCATATAGCAAATCATCATCATATCAGACACTTAAACTGTCAAATAGTGGGCTATTTAGATTTTTGTCAACTTGACACGAACTAGTCCTCTTGGAAGAGGTAAACAAAATAAAGAAAATGCCTGTACCACATTCTCTGTGTGCAAGTCTGTGAGGGATTTATTTTACTTAATATGGGAGAGCACAGCCTACTATGCGTAGTGCCATCCCTGTGGAGGAGATTTTGCATTGTATAAAAAGTATGTTGAGCAAGCCATGAAGATCAAGACAGTAAGCAGTGTTTCTCTAGGGTCTCTGCTTCAGTTCCTGCCTCCAGAGTCTTTTCCTCCTTGACTTCCTACCTTGAATTCCAACAGTGATGGCTTGTCCAGGGAGATGTAAGCTGAACAAACACTAACCTCCCTCTTCATAAAGAGGTTCCCTTGCTGCGAAAAGGCACCATGACCACCACAGCTGTTACAAAGGGAATCATGGTGTCTCACAATTTCAGCGGTTCTGCCAGCTCTGTCTACTCCACACCTCCAGGATAAGTTGTCCAGAACCACCCTGGTTAGCTTACCGATCCAGTACACAGTTAAGGGGGGTAAGTTCTCCTGCTCTCACACCATCATGGCTGAGTCACCAGGGTCAGCTATATCAGGTAAAGTACCAAGGCCACTCAGACCAGGACTACACCTGGTGAGAGGCAGGGACAGTTCTGTTGTTCTGGTGACCTCAGGACCAGTTCTCCCACCTGCCACAGACACAAGGGATGAGATGAGGGGCTTCTCTCCCTTGCCCACTCGACTGTATGGTAGATAGGGAGTGAGATCCAATCTGTCATGCTCATCCTCTCAGGACCAATTCTTACCCCCACCCCATCAATGGGATCAGCTCTCCTGAGCTGCCCAGTCAAGGTACAGGGAGCACTCTCCTGAGTGCTGCAACTTTTGGGGGCAGGATCAGCTCTTCTGCCTGCAGCAGAGGGTGAGAGGTGTGGGGAAAGTGAGGACATCTTTCTCACATCCTTAGAACTGCTACCCAGACAAAGTGCGTGGAGGCAGCTCTCTACTCACACCTTCAGGGCTAGCTCACTTGTGACCCCACCAACAGATTCAGCTCTATTGTGCTTTCCAGGCCAGTTGCAGTGCGCACTCTCCTAAACTGAGGCTGGTAGAGGGTATCATCTCTTGCCCAGTGCAAGAGGTGGTACAGAGACAGTGGAAGAGGGCATCTTTCCTTCTTGCTTGCCACAACATGGAAGTCAGGGATTCAAGGCCAGCTTAGAAATTCGGGGCATGCTGACCAAACCTCGGCAACAATGTCAGCTCTGTCATGCTCAAATGAGGTAGAAGGACTTTTCTCCCATTCTCATGACCTCAGGACCAGCTTTATCTTTTGGGTGTATGTGGGAGCATCTATCTGTCACTCATCCTACCATATGGCAGATGAGGTGGCAGGGCCAGAACTGCTATGCTCAAGTTCTTGGAGCCAGTTCATCTGGGAGGTATGTTCTAGTTTCTCTATCTCTCTGTCCCTGTCTTTGACCCTCTCTTTCCATCCCTCCTTCTCTCTCCCTCTTCTTCTTTCCTTTTATCTCTTTTGTCTGATTGTCTGTATGTTACCATCTGGCATATTTAGGAAACTCTAAATAGAAAAATGGTGCTTACCATCATGACATTCCTTAAGATCCTGCTTCGTTGGGCAAACCATCTTTATTCTTCTCTCTTAGAAAATTATTTTTCTGCTTGGTCTAGAGACTTTTACTTATAAGAGTGGTTAGCTTGGAGTAATGAGGCTATACTTTGTGTCAGAATTCTGTGGACCATGTTAATACTCAGAGTGAAAACCTATACCTATAATATAGGTCCTCAGCATGAGAGTATATATGAGCAGCATAAGAGTCTAAGGTATTTCCAAGAAATGATAAGTAATGACGTAGTTATTTTATTCTATAGAACATGAAGTAAAAGATGAATATACATAGGTTGTCAAAATATGAAGATTTCTGCAATCAAATAATATACGTATACATACACACACACACACACACACACACACACACACATATATATATATATATATATATATATATATATATATATATATATATAAATCTACAGTTAGCCTACTAGCTTCCATGGACAGATTAACCTGTGGGTTGAAGAACAAGCCTGCCTCTTTCTTGGGCTTAAAATCCATTTTATTGTAGAGACAATGTATGTCTATTCCTGCTTATTATTTAATATTTTTCTCAAGGATTGGGCTATGTCCTATCTATAACCTTAACTACAAATATGTCTGTCCTACCTGTTCTAGGAATTAACATCCATGCCTTTGTTTCAAACAGTTATTATGACTACCTATAACCTGGCATCCTATAGCCTTGCACCTATAACATTACAACCATATTTTTTCAGGAGGAAGTAATGACTAAATTGTTATGCTTATACTTATATTCTGTTTTATAACCCCACCTATTTAACCATCAAATGTCCAGTTTGTAAACTCTCGGTCACTGGGCTACAAAAGCCATCATCTTATAATTTCCAAGACTGGTTCTATTAAGCCTCCTCTTAAGGTAAGATACCCTGTGTACATGAATAAACAATCTTCCTTTAATCAATGTGGTCATGATGATTTGAGTCAGTTGTCTTCTCAAATCTTTGAGATGAGCAATTCTTAGGGAGTGTCTACTGGAGTTAAGGACTGGGATAAAGCAATGAATTGGTGAGGCAGGTTAGGAGATGATGGGACCATGAGGCTGATGGTGGTAGAAGGACAACAGTAGCTGTCCTGCTGGAGAGTTTGGCACTGAGGAATTGGTTTGGAAAAACAGAGTGTGTATTTCAGATCTGCAGTTATCACACCTGCTTCACTGACCGGAGCTACCGTCTTATAAAAAGAAAAAAATTAATAAGGATAACAAAATTAAATGAAACAACTAGAAGCCGAGATGAAAAAAGAAGACAAAATTTCTTGCTTATTGTAAATCTTAAAATGGATATGACTTAAGAAGTAATGCTATCGAAGCAATTTTTATATATGTGTGTGTTTTACAGTCAGGGAACAGATCTATAGAATGATATATATTATGTTAAATATGGATTCATTGTTTTGCTTAAAGACTGTAGTGAAGGCTAGCCTAACAATGCTGTATCTCAGTGGAAAGTCAAAAATTATCTTGTAAATGTTTATTCTATGATGGTGGAGGTCTAAGTGTGTTGTGAGATTTCCATCAGAGAAGTCTGCTGATACATGGTTTTAAGCCACTAGATAGTCCTTACTAGGCAGCTAGTGACTGACTACAATGTGTGTTTGGGATCATATTGGAGCCCAAGCCGTGCTTAAGGGGGGTTTTAAGCAGGAAAACCATGTTCTGAATTGACATTATTCAATTAACAATAACAGCCAGAAGAAGAAGTAAAGAAGCCATAAATTAAGCAATCCTATTCTCAGACATGCTCCTTTTGCCTCTTTTCGGCTTTTATTCATTCTCTGAGCCTTCCGGCCCCTTCTCATTTCTGTCCTTTCTCCTGTCTTGCTATTGGCCATTCAGGTGCTTAGGACAGGCAAACTAACACATTTTCACATAGTTAAACAAATGCAACATGAGAAAATTGCTACAAATCTTTGAATCATTGAACAAATGTTTCAAGCATAAATAAATGTAACACATCTTTAATACTGCACAATAGAAAAGATCTCTTTTGGTCTTTGGGGAATGTTGCCATGTTTCAAGGATAACTTCAACTACCCTAATATGGGCAGCACCTATTGCCCTTAGTGGGTTATAGATATAAAACATAGGACATGAATATGGAAAGAAGGCATGTTCCAGGAAAGTTATAAGGAGGCAATAGGGAGAGTTTCAAGAGCTAGTAGGGAGATGGACTTAAGCATGAAGGGATTCAGAATTATCTTGATCTTTGAAGGTGAAGTAGTAGCAACAGTACTTAAAAGAACACAGCATCTTCCCTTGTGCTGACCACAAGCACAGAGTATATCACAATTGTCATCATCATTTTCACTTTCTGAGGAGCTCTCATCAAAGGCACTTGGCTTCTCATGAACACAGCAACATTCAGATGAGTGATGTCCCAAGTGTTCATTATCAATAGTGTCACTTGACCACTCAACCCTCTTGTCTGACTTTGCCTTCTCTAATGGGTTGGATAAATTGATATTTTTGAGCCCATCCTCCAGTCCAACGGTGGTCTCTGAGATGTCTTCTGTTAGCTTAGATATTGATTCTTCCATAGCAGAACTCGAAGCAGGGCAGGCAAGAGTTACTGATGTATCCAAGGAGTCTGAGGAAATGGGAATTTGAACCCAGTCACCCACAATTGGAATTGAATGTTACATTTGATTTGTCTTAGCATGCTCACCCTTGAGGTACCAAAGACACTCTTGTTTCTGAGTTGCTTGTTTGTTCAAAATCAAGTCTTGAAATCACAGAAAGTAGTTGTTTATCAATGAAGTGACAGAAAAGAAATCTTGGCCAGAGTGCGTCAATATCCTCTCAGATTAAAAAGCAAATGATATCTTACAATGCATGCCTTTGTGAAAATTACCTTAAAGAAATCAACACATGTATCTTAATATCTGATATTTATTTGAGTAATAACACACAGAGATCAATATTTCTTTCTGTATAAATATAATATATGTTTTTCTATTTCAGTATGTCTATGGTCTACAGCCTGTACTGATGATTGCTAAAAACAAAACTAGAAAATAACTCAAGTGTCATGCTACTAAGGGAATCTGAATTTCATACTTGAATTCTTCTAGAATTATTTAATATAAGAAGAATGCAATTTTTCCTGTGATCTTAAGTTTTAATGAAGTACTAGTATGAAGGCAGGAAATTGATAGTTTAGATTAATTAGTACTGGTGATGAAGACAAGAAAGACAATTGTCAGTAAGTTGATCACATAAAGGGAGAAATCACTTGTTATTTGAGGATGGACATGAGTTAAAATGTGAACACGAGATTTGATGATGAGGATGAGGACAAGACAGGAAGGGAGACTAGCAAATAAACCTATTGGGGTAAGAAAATCAGAATTCCTGAGTTTTAAATGGCCCACTTTATATACATACCCCTTTAATTGGGATTGCCAACAGGTCTTTCTGGTATTATATAGGTATTCTGTCAGGTGACATCCTTCGCAGAATAGCTTTGTTCTTGCTTTGTTTTGCCTGTCTCCATGACAACTAAAACACAGAAATGGAATGTCCATTTCTATCTCCAAAGAACTAAATTTGGATAGTAAACCTACTTTTTGACTTGAAAAATACTGATTGACCTTAGACATGCTTGCTTCATAAAGGCCACATCTTAAAAAAAAAAACCAGAGTTTTGTCAATCATTTCGATTCCTGTCAATGCCTTATAAGTCCTGAGAATTTCTGTGAGCACTGGATACCATGATAGTTGTCTTCAATCCCAGATTCTTCTTGACTAATTAAATTTTTTTGCTTGGCACCAAAACCAAGACATTTCATTCTACCTAACTTCTAATTAGAGGTTTGTCTAAAAAATTGACATAATGCTTTGAATATTAAAAATCTGCTTTTTGACAATTTTATCTTGAATACAAATACATCTGAATCTATTTAAAAGATTTAAAGTTTATATATTCCTATTCATCCCCCTCCTACATGTTTTTTTTTTATGTCCACATTCCCCCACCTCCTTCTTATTGTTCTCGTTATTCCTCTTTATTTTCTTTTTATCATACCTACAGCTTGTATTTGAAGTCAGGTTTCTATAAACAGAACACATATAGGCAACATCTGTGATGGTTTTTGTCCATTTTGAAAATGTCTTTCAAAACAGAAAGCTCAGGTGTTGAAGGAACATTTACACATCTTTCCAGTAAGCAGAGCATCCAGTGTACACCTATGTCATTACCAAAGCCTCATCTGAACCGACTCTTGCCTCCCTAGGAAAAAAGGCTAAGATTTTGTTTCTAAAAGTGGAATATTAGATCATTGTACATATGTAGTAAAGTTTAACCCATTCATCTGTTTAGGGATATCTAGCCTGATTACATCACATGTCACTTGGATTGGATGCCATAAAGAAAGTCAAAATACATCAAATCTTGCAAAAAAAAAAAAAAAGGTTGGTTTGGTTGATGTTAGATGAAAATCCTTACATACTTCTGATGGAAATGCTAGTGTAGCCACTATGGACATCAATATATAGGTCACTCAATTGACTGAAATAGAACTACTGTATATTGCAGCTACATCACCACTTTGTATATATTTCTAGAGGAACCAAAGACTGCATAAACAGAGACAACTATAACCCAGGTTACTTGCTGCATATTCATGACACCTAGTTTTTAGATGACTCATTTGGGAATAATAAGAGTAATAATTAATAATAGTGACTCAATTAAGGAACTTCTATACATTTTTCACTTGTATTTTTTCCTGATATTATTGTTATTGTACTATTATCAGTCTCTTCAGTGTACTGATCATTCCCTTTGTTATCCAGATATATATTCTTTCAATTTAATATCATTTGACTTGGTTGAGTTTATTACTTATATATTAATATCTTAAAGAGTTTTGTTTGTGTATACTTCTAGTATGTTCCTGCTTTTTCAGAGAAAGGCCATGATTGTGGAGTGCTCATCTTAGGTCATCACCTCCAAGGATCAGGGAAACTCTAGAAAGAACAGAAAAAGGTAAGTGAGAAGAAAGTACAATATAGAGCTAAGCAATGTTTTCTAGACACCATGAGACCATTGCACTCATGTACACTTCACAAGATCTATATAATGCCACATACATTAATATATCTTCATGGATGGAGATGAGATGGTATCCAGAATCCCCTATCCCTCTCTATAAGTTAACTATTGGCAGTTAACTGTTGTTGTAGAAGGGATTATCATTTTATCCAGTGGTGTAGCCACTGGTATATTATCCATGCCGTATTAAGTTGAATCCCACCCATGTTTGGACAAGGAATTATAATTAAACTTACTTGTCTGCAAACAAAAATAATTCATGAAAATATCTGGGGCACTTGAGAGAGGTTCTACTGGAAGAAGGTGAATCAGAAAAGGGAATGTTTGGTAAAAATGACCAAACGTTATTATATAAGTTACAAACTCAATGAAAAAGTCAGTTCTATTGCATGCTAAAGAAAAATCAACAACAATATCTATTATATGCAGTTATGTACTATATAATGAAGTGTTTGTCAGCAATGAGCTAAAGATATGGTAAAAAAAATCCACAATATTAAAATCGATAGTTTATGTGAAGTTTGAATAAGAATGGCCTCCATAGGCTCTTACATTAGAATGCCTAGGTAACGGCATACTTTCATGTAGATGTGGCCTTGTTGGGATAGGTATGGCTTTATTGGAAGTAATGTGTCACTGGGATTGGTCCTTAGGGTTTTACAAGCTCAAGCTAGGTCTTGTGGCTCTCTCTATGTCTGATGCCTTCATATCAAGATGCAGAACTCTCAGCTATCATGCCTGCCTGCAGGCCACCCTGCTCCCAGCTATAAGGATAGTCGACTGTATCTCTAAAACTGTAAAAGAGCTCCAGTTGTCATGGTTATCATATCTCTTATCAGCAATAGAACATTGACTAATAGAGACTGTCACATAGCTTCATGGAGAGTAGTAGCCTTGCAAGGAATTGTACACACATGGTGATAACCTCCACAAACAAATTATCAATTGATTAAGCTTTTTCTGTCTTTTGTGCTATTGAGCTGTCTACATCCAGGGCAATGATCACAACACAAGTCATTCTTGAGGAAGATTACTAGGAATCAAGTATGGTGATCATGGTTCCTAATTTTACAGTACAACAAACTAATTAATGTGATACATGTGGTATGATATAATGGGTCAATGTCAGGGATCAGTAACATTACCTTCCCTCCATTCTTAAAATCACTTTAAATGTCTCTCCTGATAACTGTGATTTAGGATGGAACGGCTAGGCCAGTAACCAAAAGATACAGATGTTTTGTTCCACATTATGTTTAGACTACAATTCTTTTGCTGGGTTGCAGATTAAGTTTATATTACAAATCCACACTATACCATTGTTGTGCTTTTGCTGCAGGGGCAGGTAATGAAACACAAACCACAGGACTCAACACACTCCGTTGCTGTTTCTTTCTGGAGGGAAATAAGAGGGGTGATAATTGTTTGCCAGCAAGGAACAGTGAAAAAGTGAGAGAAATATATATATATATATATATATATATATATATATATATATATAGAGAGAGAGAGAGAGAGAGAGAGAGAGATATTTGAAAAGGGGTGCTTGGTAAAAATGGAATGGTTTCATATGCACACTGAGTCCTTACACAGCCATGTAAGGAATGATTTAGGTATCATGTGGCCACAACAGTTATGTGTGTCCTGCTCATTCTCTTGGCCAGGGTCATTATATGCCAAGGTTCCAAAAATCACCTCTTACTATTAAATAGGTAGGAGGTTAGGCATGGCAGGTTATGGGGTAATTACATTAAGTTCTCAAAACTACTTCCTGATGATTTGGGGGTATAGACCATCTTTGGTGAACCCAAGAATCCTTGGGTGTTGCCACATCCTGGAGTACTGGTTGTTACAACACATTTCTGGCTGTATGTCACTCTGTACCTCTGTAGACATTGCCAGACATTGTCAGAATGGAAAACAATATTAGGTTTAGAATCAAAACTTTTTCCTAGGTCCTGGTACTTGAGGGGAAGACTGTAAGTTAAGGGTGGGGGTTTTGTCAGGAGATGAGGGAAGAGAGTCTAGTGATGAGGGAGCAATTGAATAGTATTTATCTGGGGTGAGTCTGACCTGTTTGTGTGGGTCCAATTTGGCTCCCTGAAACTTATAACAACCTTCTGAGTTTGTGAAAACCTAAATACTAGTCACATTGGCAGCTTACTCAATGACAGAAATGATTGCATTAACATTTTCAAAACTAACAGATATCTTTATCATGTTAATTTTGAGAATGCAGTTATGATTGTATAGGGGTATAGTTTATGTTCAGTACACAATCAGAGTTGGATTAATAGCTATTAATTGGTGTTCCACTGTAGTCTAGGCTGGATGGAATGTTTCTGGCTACCTTTACTCAGGAGGTCTTTGTTTCTCCAGTATTGGCTTGTGGATAGCATTCCTGTAACAACAGCTAGTTGCCTGGATTAGGAGTTTTCAATGACTTATTAAGGAATAGGTAGAGAGGAGATGGATGATCAGGGT